ACTAGTATTATTACCCACGCCGATGTGCGTACACTAATCATGTCAAATGTTAGAGTTATTTAGGTTATATATAAATAATCTTAAAATTTAAATAACCTTCTTGATAAATATAGATAATCATTGGATATTAATTAATTAAAAAACGCTACGTGAAAAAAGATTAATTGTTTCTCAAATCTCCTACTTATTATTATATTTTATTTTTTAGTACCATTCTCGCCAGTGTCATAGATCCTAAAAATAGTCAGAATCAAATAATAACTCATATTTATCACAAAAGAATCGAAGGTTTTAGACTATGAAGGACTCTTATATATACGACTTGACTCTTTTACTACTACTTAAACTCTTATTGGTGTGTTGATGTCTTCCAAAAATATTTCTATTTTAAAACTTCAGTTTCTAAAATTTTATATTTCAATAATAATTATTTTTATAATTAATAATATAAGTGAAAATATTATCCTTAATTAATTCAAAACTCATTTATGTCGGCTATTTTAAAATTTAGAATTTTTCTTTAGCCAGTGAATTTCCTTTTTCCAGTATGACTTCATTTTGATTATTGAAATTAACCATGTCAAATATTTGAGTTATTTGAATTATATATGTAAATAACATTAAAATTTAAACCTTCTAGATAATCATAGATAATCGTTAGATAATAATTAAGGCACACTACATGAAAAAAGACAAACGTTTTCTCAAATGTCGTAGCGATAATTTTATTTTTGCACAATTCTCATTGGTGTCATTATATTGGAATCTAAAATAGCCACAAAGCAAAATAATAACTCGTATTTATGGCAAAGCACAAAGGTTGAGACCAATATGAATGATTCTTTGTTTATGACGTGATTGTTTTACTATGTACGACTTGAACTCTTTTTGGTATGCTGTTATCTTTCAGAAAATATTTCTATTTTGATAATTACAATTTCTAAAACTTTATTATATATTTTCAATAATGATTATCTTTATAATGATGCCAGTGAAAATATTATTCTTTTTAAAATCAACTTTATTTAATCGACTATTTAAAAATTTGAATGATTATTTGGCCAGTGAAACATTATTTCAGTATGACTGACAAGGCAATATGAATGTTCTATCATGTTTCATCAATACTTTAACTAAAGGGGTTTACGATATATCCGGTATGGAAGTGGGACATTTCTATTGGCAAACATGCATGGCCGGGGTTTCCAAGTACATGCATGGCCAATATGGCTCCATTTTTTAAGTTTATCGAAGCCACAAATTTTGAATTTTGAATACCCTATGTATACATGTTTTTTGTCTTGAATTATTAATTAAATGTTAAATTAGTTGATTGTTATTATATAACATTGCATATATGTATTGTCTAACTGCCAAGTAATAGTTTTTTCTCGACACCATACTTGGCTCCTCAACGCAAACTACTCGAATTACATTTAAATTCAAATTCGAATATCATATCATTTTGTTAGTAATAGGCGTATGTTTTAAAAATGACACACAATTATATTGTAGTGTGTTTGTGTCACTATCTCGTTCTCATTGTAGGTCGTGATGTCGCTCAACGTTGCTGTAAGACAGGCCAATCATAAATTATCACCACAATTAATTAGATTATTAGAACTGGTTTTGATGGGTTCTTGTGTTTTATTCAAATAAATTAAAATATTAATCATTACAAATTAGAATAAACTATATTATCGTTGAGTTATACATATATATAGGTAAATTACTAATGAAAAAAATCAAGTTAGATATCGTCATAGTACGTAAGATAATATATGTATATATAAAGAAAGAAAAATAGAGACAGAGAATAACACTAAAAGCGTATACTTTAAATTAACTTTAAAAAATAAAGTAAAAATAATACTCGAAAATATTATTGATAATTTCAAAATAATAAATGTATTCAGAGAAATCGAATAAAAGTCTAAAAGATATAATTTTTTTGGTACTTAATTATTGAGATAATATGATGATTAATTTATGATTTTGTTAAAATGTATGATTTGAAGTACTCGAACAATTCAAATCGATCATACTTTCGTATATTCTTTAATTAATAATGTAAGTATCGTAAGTAATATTAACAATCAATTTCAATCTATTAATAAATTACAAACAAAATCTTGATCTATTAATAAAGTTTTCCAACCGATTAAGTATCAGTTGGCAAGTTTACTAACAGATACCATTCGGTTGGTAATTTACAAACGCATTTTAAATTAGTTGGTAAAATTATCAACAAAATCCTTCTGTTGGTAAATAATTGGTTGGTAACTCGTTACTAATCTGTTAATAAATAATACTTCATTTTTTCCACCATTTTAACAACGGATATGTACTCCGTTGGTAATATTCCCAACGAAAAATGTTTGTTGGTAACATTTGAGTTGGTAATCCGTTAGTATGCAGTTGCTATATTAGCCGCCTATTTTTCCCGCCATATTTACCAACTAAATTATTTAGTTAGTAAAATTTTGGTTGGCAATTCGTTAGGAATCTGTTACTAAATTCTGAAAAATAAATTAGTTACCATTTTGTTAGCAATCTGTTGCTAATACACTAACAAATTCGGGGCGTTGGTAAAATCCGTTAGCAATTGGGGTTTTTTTTGTAGTGAGAATTGCAAATTGTTTACCTTGAAAATGGTAATTACAATTAGATTAGATTTTGTGATTCTAAAATACGTGATTTATTTTTATGCTAGTTGTTAGGCAATAGATGCTAAGTGTGAGACTAGAAAATATGATAAGAGCTTGAAGGTAATGTGTCAAGCAAACCGAGTGGCTGAGGATCGGGGCCTCGAGTTCGAACTAGGCGTTAGGCTCTAAACAGTCGATGGAGAACTAACAGTTCCATGGGCCTTGATGAGGGCTTTTTTATGATCAATGATGAGTAATAAATGAAGAACAATTAATAAAATATAATAAATGTAAGCAATAAATGTAAGTAATAAGATCAAAGGAGAATATATCTAAGATAGAGAGCAGAGAATATTCTTATTCTCATATTCAATGTTGAGTCTATATCCTTTACAAAATGACAAGGATCCCCTTTATATATAAGGAAAAATCTCAACATGGTACAAATGCATTTATTACAAAGATACGCGCCGATACAGCCGTTTAATGCCACGGTACGGGCTTGTACTAGCCTAATAGACTTGGTCAGCTTTAATCACGTGCCTTGGAAACTTTCCGTTTGCCATCATAACCACCGATTTGTACTACCCCGAGATCGAGCACTGAGAACCCTCGGGGTCGAACCTAGAGCTAAGCCTCGAGCCTCCTAGATACGTGCTTATGAAGCGCCACGATGGCCATAAATTTGGACCCTCTCATTTTCACCGCATACAGATAGTCCCCGCGTTTCTTAAAATGAAAGTGATAAGATACGGTCTTGAACCCTTACCTCTTCGATACTACCATTATGGCGTCAGCCCGTCAGAGCATTAAATGGCATGACTTAAAGATTGCGCAGGGGTCGCGTCACGACTATCGAGAAAACCTACGAACCGCTATTGGTTTGACCTTTCCGCTTTCCAACACTGCTTATATGACTTCTATAAATACCTCAACCGTTTTGCCATTCACACTTTTACAACATCTTCAATTTTCTAGAGCTAAGTTCATCATCTTCCACATTCTTCTCCCTTCTGCGCTTGCCTCCTCACTTTCTTTCTCAGAAACCTTTTTTGCAATCATGGCTAGAACCTCTAGAATGGTTCCTCAGAAAGAGAGCACTACTTCGTCTCGCCCATCCAGGGGTAAACTAAAAGTACCCCCAACTGCCGAGCAATGTACCCCTATCAAATTCGACACTGTAATCGATTTTTCCATCGAGAATCCCCCTTCTACGTTGGGCCGATGTGAGCACGTGTCTCGGTACATCAACGTGGTGACCGATACGCATAAAGTGAAAGATTACTACCGATGGGGGGAGGCAGTGGTAGTTGAGATCCCCAATCCCGGGGAAAGCATAGTAGACCATAAGGCTGACTTCCTCAGCGAGTATACATACCCCTTTACTCTAGGTCCCGTAGATTCTTCGTACCCTTCTTCTCCGTTGATAGATCCGGTGATTCTCGACTTTTAATGTGAATACCGGGTGACACTCGGCCAAATCTATCCTTTCTTCTGGAGGATCGTTTATATGCTCTGATATTTTTCCAACAAGGTCGGGGGTATGACCTTTACCCTTAATAATTTGATCAGACTATATAGCCCTCGCCTCATTCGAGGTTTGATCAAGCTTCACCCTCAATCCATAAAGACAGTCTTTTCGAGCATTGATGAGGATAAGGACCGGGGGTGGATGAGCTGGTTTGTCCGAGTGAGGACCTCGGACATCCTCCCCCCTAATAGGTTGCCATTCCCGGAGGAGTGGAATATGAAGCGTAAGTGCCCCTACCTTGAGCACATTTTACTGCCCTTTCTTCCCTCTCTGAAAATGTTCTTCTTCTGATTATGCAGCCATCGCTTGGTACCCCGGCGCGGTTCAGAACCTATTGGGGTGGATCGGACAGTTGAACTCCATTTTCCCTTATATCGAGGGTTCTTGGCGCAACTTGGCCAAAATGCGATGGCAGGACAAGAACCATTTTATGCTTTTTATTGCTATCTTTACCATGTTTCCTTATGAATATCTTTTGTAGCAGTAGGTTTGATGCATCACGCTTGCGCGGCCTCAGGGATGGAGTATTGATGAGACCGCCTCTTGATGGCGAGGAAGGGACCTAGAAACCCGGTAAGGGTAAGAAGAGGAAGAAGGGGGCGTCGGCTGAGTCTCCCAAATTAGAGAAACCTAAAGTTCGCAGGCCTCGGACTGACTTCGGGGTCTCGACTTCGGCTGTTGTGACAAGTCCCCATGCCGAGGATGAAGAAGAAGAAGAAGATGATGATGATGATGAAGGCCATTTGGTACAAAGGACGAGATGAGGCGCAGATGCCCTGCAAGTTGTAGGGCAGAAAGTCGCCGAATCGGGGGTAGTCGATATGGACCAAGCCCATGCTGAGGAGACCCTCGAAGAGGGTGCGGGCACAGTCCCCGAGTTCCAGGTCGGACATAGCGCAGTCCGTGCCGATGAACCCGTTGCTGGTGAGTCCGAAGGGCCTGAACTCGAAGCTTCTCGGGGGCAAGATGAGACCATTAGAGAAATTAGTGCCCTGGGTGGCCTTAATTAGGGCCCTCCATACTCACCGGGGGAAATCAGGGATGCACAGGACCCCGATGCCACCGGTGTAAGGGCCTCTCATGGAGGGGAAGATGTGCTCGGAGACCTCTTCGACGATGTCGATGAGGACACTGATCTCGATGCTCCCGTCGCTCGCAAGGAGGCTGAGAGGCTTCAGCAACATGTGATATTCCTTCAACATAACTTTTGCACTTCAAATTTTTGCCCTTGACTTTCTAACTTCTCTGCTTTGTTGCAGGCTAAGAAAATGTAAGACCATGCTTTCTCTAGGCTTCAAGATGAGCTTTCGAGTTGTGGGGAGGAGCTCGAGAGGCTTACCTTGAAGCTGAAAGAGTCGAAGGCCTCTTCTGCCCGAAAGGGGGAGGAGTTGAGCAGGCTTCGGGCGAGTTTGGAGGGAGTGCGCCAGGAAAGGGCTGACCTTGCTGAGCAGGTAACACGACATCCACGAAATCGTCTTTTATTCTTATAACTTGATACTTACCAACTCGTTTTGCCTTTGTAGATTGGGCAAAAGGATGCCCTGGTGGGGCAGCTCTGGGAAGAGGCTGCATCCAAGGATGTGGAGATCCTCAAGCTAAAGGGGCAGAATGACATCGTGACCTCGGAGAGGGACCTTTTGCGGGCGGAGTTGGCATCGACCCAGGATCTGCTTCGAAGTGTTCAGAAAGAGGCTGTTGCACTAACTATAGCCAAGTCTGAGGCCGAAGAAAATGCGTCTTCATACATGAAAGATGCCGCCACTGCAAATGAACGAGCCAGAGAAATATCTGAGAAGGCCGAGCAAAAACTGAATCGGGCCATTGCTTATGCTCGTTCGCAAGCAAGGAGGCAGGCTCTCGAGGAAGCAAGCAATAAAGGCGCTGATCTCTCAGTTGAGATCGAGGAAGCCTGAACCTTGGAGGAAGAATTGGCATTCTCGGCCACTTCGGACGAGGGTTCCGAGATGATCCAGAGAGTAGTGAGGGCGAGGAATAGACTCATGTTCTCTTCTCCTTTTTGTTTTTGTATATGAATTTCTAGGGGAGAAAGGCTCTGTAGAGACAGCCCTTGTAAATATATTTTTGGAAACGTAAGAAGATTCTTGTGCTTCAAATCTTCGATTTTTTTTCTTTTATTTCGGCGCTCATGCGAGTACAGCCTTTGAATTTTGATGTTGGCTCTTCGGAGCCTATACTTGGAGTAATCAGAACCCCCGAGATCGGGCACCATCTCGAGACCAGGTTGATAGTTCTTTTTAGAGTCTAAGCTTGTAGTACTGGGATCCTCGATACCTTGATGGATCTCGAGCGTTGTATGACGATATCGTTTATGTGATGTGGTTGCGAAGTGGGGGGGGGGGGGGAGGGTCCCACCAGTACACTTTCCCAAAAGGTGGCACTGACATGGTCAGAATTAATTGGCCTTCTGAATAGGCGAACAGTCGCTGCTTGCTCTGTATATGTACTAGCTTTACCCTTATTTGTGGATTCCGCCACTTTGACTGACTATCCCCTTAGTAGAGCTCTTCTTCCTTGCGCTAGTTTTCAGTTCAAAGCTTTTGCCCAAGTCTTCATCTTTCCTTTCTTGTTTTACCATAGTAATGGCTGCTACGCCCAAATCATTTTTCCAAGGAGAGGGGAGTTCCGCCTCTGCTTCGCGCGGCCGGTGGTACACCGCCGGTGTCCGGTGGGTTAGCCTCAAGGTACTTTATCTCGAAGAGGGATTTTACATTAGAGAGACCTCCCAATGTTCAGGGCCATCGAGAGCATGCATCGAGATTTATCTCCTTAATTAAGGAGGAACACCTCAAGGCAGTTAGAAAAGATTGCGGATGGGGAGAAAAAGTGGTACTGCAGGTTGATAAGTCGGGATTTTAAAATATTTTAAGCCCCTACTTGCCTATACTTTGGTTATAAATTGCTACAAAATAATCCCAAAATGCTCACAAGTTGTACTTGATTGCAGGTTTGATCGACAAAGCGACGAATGTCAAAGATCGGCTCAAAAAGGAGTGAAACTTGCTCAGGTGTCAAAGACTAAGTGAATTGAGGAAAAGAGAACCTAGTGCGGACTGCGCAAAGGTGGATGCGGCAGCACTAGGAGGTTCAGAAAGTTGGCATTTTCAAGTTGGAGGCAACGCGAGCGAGGTACGATTCACGCGGTCCGCGTTCAAGCTCCGCGGCCGTGCTATTATTCTGTGCAATCCGCGGAGCAGAGATTCAGAGAGCTCACATTTTGCCAATTCCGAGCAATGCGGCCTGCGCTCGTTTTTTTGCGGCCGCGCCAACTTCCACCGCGGCCGCGGTGCACTTCCACGCCGTCCGCGGTCCCCAACTTCAGAGAAGTAGAGATGAGAAGTCCAAGAGCCAGTGCGGCCGCGGTCCATTAAGCGCGGCCCGCACTGACCCCGTAGGAGTATTTTTGCCCAGTTTTTTCAGCCTAGTATAAATAGAACATTTTACCATTTTTAGGTCAGGTTTTATATTCCAGACTTAGCTGCGCTCGTGAGACTCACTTTTGTAGCCATTTTCGGCACTTTTGCTCTTCATTAACGATAGATTATTGTAGTTTCTTCTTAGTAATCAATTAATATGCTTAGTTCTTCATCTATTTCTTCATTTTCTCTTTCAAGCATAAGTAGCTAAACCCATTAGCTAGAGTTGTGGCTCAACCCTAGTGTGGGTAATTGATGGGTGTTGCCATCTAGGGTTAGATTGATTATGGGTGTTTGTTATTTGGGTTGATTTTATGTTTTTATTTAAGAATTGGTGGTTGCAAACATTGATTCAAGCTTTGTGGGTTTGACTCTTCTTGAGAAAGAGAGTTTATGACCCCAAAATTGATCCTAAAAGGAATTGGGATGGACTCATGAGAAATTATGATGATAGGCTATAATCACGTATTTTAGTCGATTATTACACTCTAATTTACTGCACTTTAATTGAGTTTGAGCTTTAATCGCTAGTGTTAGTAGGTTTATCTACAACATCTGGTGGTGCCCTCGTGGGCACGTTCCTCTCTGGGATCGACATCCGACTTTTAGTCACTTTTTTACTTGACGACCGCGTATACTTGCGTGTGCGTTTGGCCGCAATAAGTTTTTGGCGTCGTTGCCGGGGACTTAGAAATTAACTATTTTTCTAGATTAGACTGTTAATTTTGTCCTATTTTTTTTGTATTTATTTTTATTTTTATTTTTATAACTATTTGACTTTTCTCTCAGTGTGTTTCTAGTTCTCTCAACATGACATCTGGGGATGAAATATCCGGAGGTAAGGTTATTGATGAAGAAGCATGGTTGACAGAAGACTTTTATGGCCCGTCTTTTTGGGCTTGTCATGACCTGATTTCTGGGAGGTCTAAATTTGAATATGGGAGTAAGGGTTGGTATTGGGATGGATATTCTCGATTAGGCGAATATGCGGAACGACGTTGTCTTTTGACAACATTGGTAAATGATTGGTCTAAGGAGAGAGATGAACTTGCACATAAAATTGATAATTTTGGCTTGGCTGTACATAACTTAGATGTAGATTTGAGTGCAAAGGTTGATGCGTGTAACACCCAACTATTTGATAATGAGTTGTGTGAAGCTGAAAAAAATCTTCTAGACCAAATTGAGGAGCTAAAACGAGAATTCCAATCACTAGACCATGTTTTTCTTGAGGATGCAAATATTGAGAAGAGTGCTCTAAAGTCATATGAGGGAGTAGATAACATTACTTTGGGAGACTTGAGTGTGTGTAAATATGGGGATGCAAATAGTAGTAAAATTCATGAGTTAGGGCGCATTAGACCTCATTCCAATCATTTTTCTACATTGTGTTTAGATAGTAAGATTGTAATCGAGCCATCTGAGCCTATGAGGGAGTCAAAGGTGAGTATAAGAGTGTCTATATTCTTGAATTTGTTGTGTCAAAAAGCAAAAATTACATTCCTCATCTAAAGGCCGAGAAGTGCAGAGTTAAAAATTTATTACTTGGCATGGTTATCTTTGTAGCCCTGCCAAAGAAGCATAGCCACATACTGGATGCCCTGTTAGGTGTACAATTCATAAGTTCAAGGTGGAGGCAAAAAGTGGTTCAAGTCGTGCCGCGACTTTAAATTAGGCGCTTGTTGGGAGGCAACCCAGCTTTATTGCTTTCTTTTAAATATTTTTTTTGTTATTTTTCTATTATCTTTGTAGTGTTGTTTTTGTCTTGTAGGATTATAAACATAGGAAGCAAAGCCATTGGAAGAGTGCAAAAGCAAGTTAGATGGTGAGAACTAAGTGTGGAGTACCCACACAAAAGACCATGCTTGGGGGAAGTTTGAGTACCTCGAGAGCCACTATTGCTTCGGCCTTTGGCCTTTCAGGGAGTTTCTTGACCACCCCTATTATTATTTTGCTTTGTTTGTGCATTGAGGACATTGCACAATTTTATGTGTGGAGTGAGGAGATTGTCTGGGTGATTTTCTGTGCTATGTTAGCTTAGTTATAGTACTCGTTCTAAGTGTAGTAATTTTTGTTTACAAAAAAAAAAAACAAAAAACAAAAAATAATTGGAAAAAATTGGAAAATTTGGACTTTTCCCGACGATGGATTTTGTGGACAGCTTTCTTAAGGGATTAAGGTCCAATAAAAAAAATAAAAAAGGGTGAAAAATAGAAAAATCCAAAAATATGTCTTTTACTTTTTTTAGGTAGCAACAATCCCCCGTGGTTTTTCTTTGTGCATCAGTTCTTTTCCATGGGATGTAGTTTGAACCGGGTAGTAGTTTTTTTTTATTTTTTATTTTTTAGAATAGATTAGGACTTTAGAAAATAAAAGGTGGAAGGGTGATGAACTTAGGTTCCTTTGACTTGTTTGATAGTAGCATATTTAGACTTTGGCATGTGTAGTATCTTCCCCATGATTTGAATTTATTGATGATGCCTTGCTTACTTGGATAGCATGTTTTGTGGTGACTATGTCTCATTTTCTTGACTTATGTTTACTTTGTGCTTAATGCTTAATATCTTGTGGCTCCGTGAATGGGACCATCCTTAGTGAGTCATGTGCCATGTGTGGCGAGGTTTTTGTGTAGTCTATGTATTGTACTTGTGTCTAGAACTTGCCCGGTTTGTGAGTCGAAGCGAAATTTTAGGTGATGTTCGGTTTGAAAAATGATTTTAGGCTTTTTTTGATCTTTTTTGAGCTTTATTGCTTATCACAAATAAAATTTATCCCTAGTTAAACCTTTTGAGCCTATAGACTTTTATTTGGCACCCACATTACAAGCCTATACCCTTTTTATTCTTAATTGACATTGTTTTGATCCCTTTTCCTCTTAAAGCACTTTAATTGTAAATGCTAAAAGAAGTAAGAAGGAACTAAGTGTGGGATGGCTTTTGAGTGGAACCAATAAAAGGAAGAAAGGTGCACTTGTTTTTTCTAAAATAATACACTACTAGCGGAAATTGAAAAAAAAGAATAATCTGGAAAAAAAATATAGAGATGAATACATCGATGTCTTGTTTTTTATAGTGGGTATGAATTAATGTAGTGCTTAAAGAAGAAGGGAGCATTTTTGGGGTGATATTGTTTTTGAAAGTGAAGTGGATTGAAGAATTTATGCTTAAAGTTGATTATGTGGTGTGTTAATGTACTTAGGAGGGTTAGTCACTATTCCTAAATATATCCTACCCATCCCTTAGCCCACATTACAACCATGAAAAAGACCTAATTGATTTCAGATCGAGCGAGCCTACATTAGTAGAGATTTACATTAAGGGCAAGCCTATGGTACCAATTACATGCATGTGACTTCTTTTGCGAGGGTGAGCGATTTTCTTTGATATATGTAAGCATGAGATTCGAATGTGTGGATTGATTCTACTTTCTTTGCTTTGGTTGTGAGGGCGCATGGTTTCACGAAGGATAGGTAACATTAT